TAACCAAGAGAGAAACAACGTATGTTTTGTTTCTACCCATGATACTGACTCTCTCCCATGATCAATGGTCCAAAAGAAGTTTTTCCTTACTTAGTCATTATGAGCCAGGAATTTATAAGGTTGTCGCCACCTAGGGTGGGCAGTCCTCTATTTTAGATATGATGGACATGGGTGATGTAATTTATATGCTCGGATGTACGATCCTTAGGGATTGTTTTAGGAAAATTCTCGGTCTGTCTTCGATGACTTACATAGAGAATATCTTAGAATGATTCTAGATGCAAAATTGCAAATCCATTGACTTACCTATCGGTAAAAGCCTGAGCCTTAGCTATTGAGTGAATCCTCAGATTGTCTTTGGGAGAAATAGATAACCTATATTCGTTGATCTTCTTTTTGTTGTGGGAGCCTTAAGTACGCTTTGTGGGCGTATTCGGCATGATGAGTGTTATCTTTAGTAACGTGGAAGTATGTGTGTTGGGAGATTGACCTTGCTCATTAGACTGTGGATAGAATGCTTTATTAGTAGTGTATAAATTTACCCCTTGTAAGATTCAATGCGCTAGCTGGGTGCATCTTGAATGAACCCAAATTGGTCACTAAAATATCTTTAAAGAGGTAATTGCGTACGAGGTAGTGATCTTGAACCACTTCATGTGAGGCGCACATAATGGATTCCGTTGTATATGCTTATTGCAAGAGATGTTGATAAGGCCTATGTTTGGAATCTTGAATTGCGCAAATTGTGGCTGTATTTTTCAATCAATCACTTGTTTTTGTGAGATTATGAGATATTGACACTATTACGGTTTGTGGCATAATGATTAGCAAGTGATGATGTCAGCAGGCAAGATTGGCTCACTCACACGAGCAATCGCCCTTGGCGCTTGGGAGCGAGCAAGGATGAGACTGGTGGTTTATTTTTATTCGGAGCCAAGAGAGGCTTAAATCATCCACTATGTATGTCGCCTTGGTTATAACCAAGATGAGGTCGTGTTAAGGACCAAACATGGATGTTAGTACCCACTTTCTATTTCATGCTTGTTATGATTAGCCAGATGCGAGATCTCATTTGGCCCCTGGAAGGTGAGCAAGACTAAGATCTGTACGGTGTATCAAGTATGACGTCACTCTTTAGAAGAGTTATTCTACCGTAGCATGTATTCATACTACATGTGCTTGGTGACCGAGTAATGAGGTGAGAGAATAGATCCCTGTTTCCTCACCGTGTGAGTTTTACGTGTCATTATTGATATGACTTTTATTTATGTACCCTTTTGTGACTTTTGCCTATGTCATAAGGTAAGGGGTTGATGTTCTGCTACTTTGGTATGTTGCCTGCGGTCATGCATGATTCAGTCTTAAGGGACATCACTGGGAAAGCGGTCAATCCTAAACTAAATGGCATGAGTGCAAAGGGAAGATCATCTAGTATTACACCACTGCTGTATATTCACTGCTGGCAACTCATATCGCTCTGTATGAGAGGCGAATTGAGTGTGAATATATTACAAGAATTGAGAGGGTCAAACATGCTCTTTTTGAGGGATTAAAGATGTTTTTTGGACCGGTGTAATTAGATGGGTCTGGGGTATATGAGACACTATTTCTATTTTTTTTGGGTTGATGTCTCTATGCTGGCTTATTTTGAGTTTTTAGTATAGAGCTCCCACATGCAGGTGTTCTCAACAGTTGCACGGTGCAGTGGCTAGTATGAGATTGTTCATTTTTTGGGGAGATTGAGATAGAGATGTGGCAGTGTCATGCCAACTCATGTGCGAGTGGGAGATGTTAGAAATTGGGCGCCCATGTGGCTTGACCCTTCTTTGAACCTTTTGAACCTTATCCAAATAAGTTTGAATTTGAATTCAAAACCTATTTGGATAACCACTCAGGATATCTATATCTATCATATCAACTAATATGGATAGATGATATAGATATCTTATATATCTGATATAATTGATATGGATATTTTCATTATTATCCAACATATCTGATATAATATGGGATATGGGTGATTAAGAGAAAAATAACGTATGTCATATGTTGTTTCTCATATTTTGACTCTCTCCCAAAATACAACGATCAAGAGCCATTTTGCACTGTGACTTGTGTGGGTGATATTCATTCTGTAATATCACTCCACTGCTGGGTTGATTGACCAGATTCAGGAAGTACGTGATTTACCCACGAGATCCTTTCAATTTAGACTCTGCACAAAAGGTATGACCATAATTTTTCATCCGCTGCATTTTACCTTTGATTTACAAATCATTAAGTTAATTAACCGTTTTTAATGATGTTAGAAATATGTTTCAATTAATAATTTAGGTAATTTTATTATTGTATATGAGAGCAATTATGAATTTTATTTTTTTAGTTAATTCTGTTAAATAAAAAATACTAACAAGGAGATATTTGTAATTTTCTAAACCACATGGGGCAATCTGTATTTTAAGCAAATCTCAAGAGGTGTATTTGTAATTTACCCTAAATTTTAATATATAATTTTATTTTTTTTCGCATAGTTTATCCTAATTATTTATACGTATTCAATTGAAAGGGTTTTAGAGTTCATGGAAGAATTGGATTTAGGGCCGCGAAGTTTCAAAACTTTGAAGAATAAATAAGTCCTTTTTCCTTTGGCTAAGATTTTAGTCAATGTTTTGTTTAATTTACAAAACTTTACACCACATAAGATCTATTCTTATGTTAGAGCTTCTTCACCAATCCATCACAATCTTTATTTCACTCCAATCCAACCCTTTTCAACATCATCATCACTCGAAACTACTTCAAATCAACACTCATTCATTCCCAGTAACTTAGTTCATAAAGATTTAAATAAATTAATTAAGAGAAGAAAAGGTATTTGATCACCTCCAAAGCCACAACAAACAATTGATGTAGAGCATTTTCTTAAAGAAAAAACAGAGAAAAAAACATGTTTACCAAGATTGGCACTACAAAAAAATTGACTTTTTGCGACGGCAAGAGGGGGTTGCAAATGGAGGGGTTGCAAAAGAGTTTTTGCATGTTTTGCGACGGCATTTTTGCCTTTTTGTGACAACACTGTGAAGTCGCTAATAACGTTTGAAATTTCTTGACTTTTTTGTGACGGCACTATTTTACCGTTGCTAAAAATGTTATTTGAGACGGCAAAAAATACCGTCGCTAATAGTCTTTTTTTTCAACGGCAAAACACTATTTTTGCGACGGTGTTGTGCCGTCGCAAAAAGTGTTAAAAATATAAAAATTTCTTTTTTTGCGACAGTGTAATGCCATCGCAAAAAGTATTAAAAAATAATAAAATTTCTAATTTAAATAATAAAATTTCTATTTTTTGCGACAATATAATGCCGTCGCAAAAAGTAAAACCTGTAACAAAACTAATAAAAATATTAAAATTTTCTATTTTTTACGACGGTGTATTGCCGTCGCAAAAAAGAAAAAAAAACATCCTACGATAAAAATATTAAAATTTCTCCATAATAATATAAAAATAACAATTTCTTCATAATAAAATATTTTTCCATTCATATAATTACCCATCAACAAAATTATCTCACTACATAATGTTCCATAATGCATATATAATGTTTAAATACATGATTTTGTTCATAATTCAAAATAACATAAACCAAATTTCATTACTAAAATAATAAAACAAATTGCATTTAAATTCTCACTTTCATAAATAAAATTGAGGTCTAGACAGGATGAGCCATTTACTTTAGGACATATATTTTACATGCTGAGGATTCAAGTCATTGTGAAGGCATTATGACACACAAACCCTCCTTGTCTAACTGTCACCCCCTGTCCGGCCATTGCACTGGAAAATTGTGGGTCTCCATGCCAAAAAACGCTTCAAGGACACCTAGAATATGAAAGGCAATTTGATCAGCTGCAGCTATAACCGTGGTGGCCTTGTATAAAATTTTTTTAACAGAATCAGAAATGTTCAGTACAATGTTGAAGAGGGGATAATGAAAATAAATTGCATAACTTTGGGCACTACAATGAAACTTCTTGGACACTTGCAACATATCACCTATGTAGTGCAAACATCTCTTAGTAGGACCCATGATCAACACTCTTGCGAGTGAGTCCAGTAAGGAAAAACATTCTTTACTTACAAGCCCTCATACAAGCAAACCTCCAGAAAGCAAAAAAAATCCATTAATTTGCACATATTCCACGTAATGAAAACAACAAAGAAAGAAATATTGACATATTTTCGAGATACCAAATTAGAATCCTCAACATACACAAGCAACCCGAGAAATAAAATTTCATTGCAAATAAAGTTGTTTTGCCGATTTATAGACTAACAAGTATCCTTTAAAGAAATTTATTTATGATATTATTATAATAAATTTACTTGACATGTAAATAGTTATTATAATAAATTTACTTGACATGTAAACAGTTTTAACAATTCAATTTACCTACTTACATGGTTCTTGAGACAATTATGAGGATCCCCATAAGTTCGATTTAGAGCATCTGCAATGGCAGTTACAAAGCAAGCAGCAGAAAAGCCGCTAGTTTCTCGGTCATGAATACCATTCAACAAAAGTACCTATAAAGGAAGTAAATGCATTAATACAACATAACAATGTTGAAAACCCTACATAATAAGAGCCACAATAGGTGTTTAATAGCTAGAATCTTCAAATATAATTAATGTCATCCGAACATCCAAGGAATTAAGGGCCTCAACTGAATATTTTCAGCAGAGCCAATCACAAAGGAATTAGTAACTTCCTGAACTATCAACCAAATTTACAACAATTATTCGACACTCTTTTCTAGTCAAAGAGCATACACTTGATGGCTTGATAGAAGATTACCTTGGGGCAAGACCTTGAAGCGATGATCTCCCCAATGCCAAGTAAAACCTATGTATGGAGAATGATCAGTACAAGGTAGAAATTAAAAACTTTCTTTTGTTTTCCCAATTAACAAACCATTGATGACAATTGTTTCATATCAACAGAAAAAACAAGATTAGAGAACCATTACCTACAACAGTGATCAAAGTAAGGCAACAGAAAGAGCTCCAAGAACATATTTTCATTCAAATTTTAGATTAGTAGATAAGCTTAGATATACAATGCATAATTAGTACATCAAATAATTTAAATAAGGTGAACATAAGAATATGCCTCTGTTTATTTATGGATTCCAAGTATCTTTGTCAATAATAGTTCCGTTCAAATGATTAACTGATAGATGAACAAATTAAAACATGGAGTAGATAAACCACCAAACCTTCAGCATGTGATAGGAGTATGACATAACAAGTAGCAACCATAGAGATTAAAAATCCTTTAAATGACTGACAAGTTTTAATAAGAGAGCAAAGAAGCAATGTTCATGTATTTTCAGCTGCTTTAATAGCCCAAGACTCACGTTTCTATAATAACTCCATAATATTATAATATCACAAAAAGATCTCTGTAATGGGCCTTGACAATGATCCTTCTGGTGACAAAACTGATTTGTATATCCACTTCACCTTTTTCTAGTTTTTCTTAGTAATACAAGCTTGCTTACTGAAAACAAAAAATAAATAACTAATTAAAATTGCAAAGACTAACCCGAAAAAGTTTTAGTTTGGTTGATAGTGTTACCAGGGATGGGCAGATGGAAGTAAAAAGGGATCCCATATCATAAATGATGCAGTCAATAGTCCTCAACTAATCCAGGACAGTTGGGTTTACATTGGGAAAAACCTATTCAAAAGAAAGCACAGACATTATTTAGACAGCAGACAAAATAAGTCATAGATATACTAACATGAACTTTTACAATGAAGTATTAATATCAAAGAATATGCAACTCAAAAGAAAATCTGTGGATTCTGATACACCACACTCTATTGCTGCTGTTCAATAAGTTCAGGGCTACACTACAACATCTTAGACCAAATATGTAATAATGAAAAAATAAAAATTTCACTCCACTAGACATATACTCCACACTCTATTGCGGTTCAATAAGTTCAGGGCTACACTGCAACATCTTAGACCAAATATGTAATACTGAAAAATGTAAGACAAGCCACAATTGAAAAAATAAAAATTCCACTCCACTAGACATTTCTGGTTCATCAAACTGCACTTGCTTTAAGCACAGGCCATAAGAAGGTAACCAAAGTATGTTTGCTCAATACACATCAGAACTAGTGGAATAGGATCAATTGCCTTAGCATGCTGGCAAAGAAGGTGGGGTTTGACATGAGGTTCTCAAACAAACAGAAGTTGTAAAACTAGATGAGGATTAAAATGAAAGCTCAAAATTAAAAATAAATAAATAAATCATTGAAACAAGAAAATTACGATAGTTGTAGCATATCACATAGCTTATTGTTCGAGAAAATATTTGTCACATAACCAACATAGTTCTCTAGGAAAAAGAAGAAAAATTAACCATCACATTACTTGACAGATTCAGTATTGGGCAGAAAAATTAACCATCACATTACTCAGGGTGAGGGGAAAAGGATGATTTTCCAAAATATGACGCCTAATTTCTATGATATTCATATCTTACATAAAAGTGAAAACTTGGACTTTCAAAATATCCAACATGTTATTGATGTGTAGATCAATCCAACAAGGAATGCAACAAGAATATCCTTTGCAATTCATAGTGTACAAATGTAATCATAGTAAAATGACACTCATTCTCTTCATTTTTTTATTTTTCAATCATTGATTTCTCACACTGAATAAAATGAGTTCCAGACACATAGGACCTTTGTAGCATAGTAATGACTAATGGCAAGTATACAAGAATAGGTCTTTTTTGTTCAGTGAGGAATGGATATAAAAATAATACATTATGAGTACAACATCTGTTCCACTATGCATGGTATAACAAACAAGCATGTGATGTACTATTTACCTCATGCAATAAATTGTTGCCTTCACTTGACATGTAGAACACCCGCTTTATTCTTGAAGGAAATGCCGGAGTTGAAGAGCTTACATATCCATAAGCAGTTGAATGAAGAAGAAATCTGGAATATGAATGCCAAAAATGAATCAAAACTAAGATTATAGAAAGTAAAGCAAGTACAGAGTCACGAAATCAAAATAAGATTATAGAATCTAATCAAGAAAACATGAATCAAAACTACGATAAGATGAAAATAGGTAGATCAGCAACAGAGGTATGGAATGAAAGAATGAGAGGAAGAAGGACAGACTGAAGCCGTCTTCGACGAGATAGTTGAAGGTGTGGCCATCGCAGTTGTAGGTGAACTTGTTGTTGGAGGAAGGGAGTTTCTGGAGGCACTGAGAAGCGATGCTCGTGAAATTTCCAGTGAATTCGGCGAGAACCACTGTTCCTCTAGCCACGAAGCTGTAGATCAAAGACTGTTGCCCCATCTCTCTCACACTCAAAACCCTAAAACCTAGAGAGACAAATGGGTAGAGAGATAAACGGAAGGAGAGATTGGGGATTTTGGGTTTTTCGGGGGGGATTTTGGTTGAAGAGGTTGGGGTTTTGGGGGAGAACCCGATTGGGGATTTTGGTTGAACAGATTGGGGATTTTGGGGGGAGGGGGAGGGGGGAGCGGGAATGGAAAACAAGAAACAGATTGGGGATTTTGGGTTTTTGGGGAGGGGGGAGCGGGAATGGAAAGAGGGGGGGAATGAGAATTTTTTTAATTTTTATTTTAATTTCCATCATAAATGAATATTTAAATAATAAAATGGTTTTTTTTTTCACAACGATAATAAAATTTATTTTTTGTTAAAATAATTTTTTTTATAGTTAATGAATTTATTTATTTATTTTTTATTTATTTTTAGTTATTAAGGTTGAAAAATTATTATTATTATTATTTTTATTTGGTAGAAGTAGGGATAATATTTTAATGAAAAATATTTTCCATTAAAATAAAGTTAATTTTTTATGGTCAATGAAAAATATTTTTTTGCGACTCATTTTTTTTCTTTTTTTTTGTTACTAAAAATCAAGAACTAATTTTTTGTGGTAGAGGATAGGGAGTGGCAGTAGTGGTGAAGGTGGTGGATAAGAGGTGATAGTGGTGGTGGTAGTGGTGGCGAAGGAGATTAGTGGTGAAGTTGTGGTAATAGTATAGGAGATAAAGTAGCGGTGGTGGTGGAGAGGTAATGATAGTAGTAGTGGTGGTAGTGGAGTGGTAGCGATGGTGGTAATAATGATAGTCGTAGAGGTGGAGTGGCAACAGTGGTAGTAGTGGAATGACATTTGCAGTAGTGGTGAAGGTGGTAGAGGAGATGGGTAGTGAGAGAGAGAGAGAGAGAGAGAGAGAGAGACAAAGTGGTCGCTAAAAGTGTATTTTCTTGTAATGGAGAGCTCGGTAAATAGAGAAGATGAGACGGGGAGAGTGAGCAAAGTGAACACAGTAGAGGAGAGAGATAAAGAGATAAAGAAGAGAGAGAGAGAGAGAGAGAGAGAAAAGAGAAAGAGATAGAGAGTGAAAGACAGAAAAAGAGACAGAAAAGAGAAGAGAGATGAACGAGAGAGACATAGAGGGAAGAGAGATAAACGAGAGAGACATAGAGAGAAAAGAGATGAACGAGAGAGACATAGAGAAGAGAGATGAGCGAGAGATGAACGAGAGAGAGGTGAGAGAGATAGAGAGAAGAGAGATGGGTGCGAGAGAAAGACAAAGTGGTCGTTAAAAGTGTATTTTCTTGTAGTGGAGAGCTCGGTAAATAGAGAAGATGAGACGGGGAGAGTGAGCAAAGTGAACACAATAGAGAAGAGAGATAAAGAGATAAAGAAGAGAGAGAGAGAGAGAGAGAGAGAGAGAGAGAGAGAGAAAAGAGAAAGAGATAGAGAGTGAAAGACAGAAAAAGAGACAGAAAAGAGAAGAGAGATGACCGAGAGAGACATAGAGGGAAGAGAGATAAACGAGAAAGACATAGAGAGAAAAGAGATGAACGAGAGAGACATAGAGAAGAGAGATGAGCGAGAGATGAACGAGAGAGAGGTGAGAGAGATAGAGAGAAGAGAGATGGGTAAGAGAGATAGAGAGAAGAGAGATGAGCGAAAGAGACAAAGAAAGAAAAGATATAAGAGAAGAGATAGATGAATGAGAGATAGAGAGACAGAGAGAGAAATAGACAGAGAGAGAGAGAAGAATGGTGAATGAGAGAGAGAAAGAAAAGAGAGAGAAGATGATGAAAAAATGGGTGAAAAGATATAGACAAAGAGAGAGAGACAGAGAGAGAGAAAAAAAAGAACGAAAAGAGATAAACGAGAGAGAGACAGAAAGAGTTGAGCGAGAGAGCGAGAGAGAAAAAAAAAGAGAGACAGAGAGAGAAGATAGATGAAAGAGATAGAGAGTAGAGAATAGATGAGAGACACAGAGAAAAAGAGAGAGAGAGACAGACAAATAGACAGAGAAAAGTGATGAGTGAGAGAGAGAAAGAGAAGAGAGACAGAGACACAGAGAGAGAGAGAGAGAGAGACGAACAGACAGAGAAGAGTGATGAGTGAGAGAGAGAGAGAGAAGAGAGACGGAGACAAATAGAGAAAGGGAGATACAGACAGATAAAGAAGAGTGATGAGTAAGAGAGAGAAAGAGAAGAGAGACAGAGACAGAGAGATAGGAAGATGAAAAAATAGGTGAAAAGAGAAATGTTCAAAAGAGTAAGACGACGTCGTTTTTTTTTAATTTTTTTTTTGTGATAGAAAAATACCGTTGCATTTATTTAAACCATTTTGTGACTATATATATGAAGCTGTCTCAAAGCCACAATATATATATATATATATTTATTTATTTATTTATTGCAACGGTACCTATTAAAGTCGCATTTTTTTTTTGCGACTGCAGCTTGTACCATTGCAAAACCTCTATTTTTTTGCGACAATAATCTCTACCATCGCAAATACTTTTTTTTTTGGCGACAGTATTTTATGCCATTGCAAATACTCTATTTTTGTGACGGCAAGTTGTGCCGTCTTAAAAACTCACATTTTTTGTGACGGCAAGTTGTGCCGTCTCAAAAAGTCACATTTTTTTGCGACGGCAAGTTGTGCTGTCTCAAAAGGTCACGTTTTTTGCGACGGCAAATGTACCGTCGCAAAAAGTTCCGTCTCATAAATCCAGTTTTCTTGTAGTGTGGGTTTCGTATGTATTATGGAATGAGAATCAAAAAATAAAAAAGTAAACAAATGAGAAACAATCTTTACAATAAATCCTAAATCTTAAACCTACAAAAAAAATTGATTCAATCCGAAGAGGAAATAGTATCCGCTGATATAAGCTATGCGAGGCTTCTTTTGGTTGATTTTCAAGCTTGTGTAATGTTGATTTGTTTATTATTTGGGTATACCACAAATTATGATTTTATATCGAATGGTAATTTGTGGAAAAAAAACATAGGGTGTGAGAGTAAATTATGCGATAAATTCGGGCCCACTAATCTTGGGCTATTGGGCCTAAACAATTTAGTGGGCTCAAATTAGCCCCTCTTACAATATCGAATGGTAATTTGTGGAAAAAAAACATAGGGTGTGAGAGTAAATTATAATCATAAATAATTTAATAGAGAATACTAAGAAATTGGGCATATTAAATGAGTTTTTAAGTGCAAATAAAATAGGATTTCATAGAGCTGTGTTTGCCCAGTAAATGTTTTGGCTGTGTTTAAGCAGTACAAATGGGAGATTTTATTTGCACTTAAAAAATCATTACGTCCGTCCAATTTCTCAATATAATCTATTAAATTATTTATGTTTATAATTTACTCTCCATACATTCTTTTTTTTTTTTTTCTTTCTGAAATATCATTTAAAATACACCTAAATAATAAACAAATTCCGTCCCTTTGAAAAACACTTTCAAAAACCCTTTTGGGTATCTCAAAATTGTGATGATTTGGTAGATTTGTACATTTACATAACTGACATTTGGACTCCTTCTCTTTGGTTGTTCGTAACTATGGTTGAGACGGATGAAGAACATAACAGAGATGTAGCAATGGAGATGGAAAATTTGCCGTTTATAAGGGTTGGTTCAAAAACGTCATCTCGATTCAAAAACCCTTATTGCTTGTGTGTCTTTATCATATCCACTGGATTTCCTCATTAATGAGGTGCCATGTTCCTATTAAAGCTCCATATGATCTCTAGACAGAAAATTTGGAGAGAGGATCCGAATCCGCATGGATAGCGAGATATTTTTGTGAAAATTTATTAATTTCAAAGTCTTGAATACAATCACTTAAAAGGATAATAGTAAAATATCTATATAATAATGATATTGATAATAATGATGAGTTTTGGTGGGATGAATTGAGGATTTAATATGAAAAATGCAATAGGTGGTTTGGGTGTATCATGAGGGAAAAATATATATTTTAAAGTTTAATGTGTATTATTTTTATTAGTAAATTTATATTAAAATATAATATGAACTAAAATTTCATAATTTTAATTGGGCATATTGAGTTATTATTTAGTTGTAAATAGAATCACTCGGTACAAAATTAAGATTGGCCCATTGCTTTGGCCTAATTAAAGTCTCGTTTGGAAATAAAATATTTTAGTAATTTTTTAATTTTTTTAAAAAGATATACAGAAAAATATAGAGAATAATACGATAACTTATAATAACTTTTTAACTTTTTAATTAAAATATATAAACAGGACCTCAGATAGGCTCATTTCATGGGCTGATAATTTTTATGGAAGGCTCACTCACTAGTCTTTTTTGGGCATAAGAGACAGAGAGCTCGTCACTTGTTTTCAAAACTGTTGTTGACATCTTGTTTCAGCAAGCAAACCTACTATTCTATTCGTTCCAAAATATTAATCTCTTTTTTCATATTTTATTTATCACAATTAGTTCCTCGTACTTAAGGATTAAGTATCATGATGACCAGTAACTGAGGTTATCTCCGGCCAATTCTTAAACAAATTAATAAGCGCGAGCGAAAATAATATTCAAGTGAGGATTTAAGACTTTCTAAAAGTTATTTCTGAATTGCATTGTTTTCTGAAAATTGGTAAACAACTATAATCACATGGCAGAGTGAGAAATATTATACTAAGAGTATAAGGGACACAAAATAACCATGGATAGTTATGTAACTAAAATATTTAAAATAGTTTAGTCTGAACAAATAATCCTTTAAGTAGCAAAACTGAGATTATGTAAGTAAATAACCATAACCACGGTACCGAACAGAACAGAACAGAGGTCACAAGCGAAAATAATATTCAAGTGAGAATTTAAGACTTTCTAAAAGCTATTTCTGAATTGCATTGTTTCCTGAAAATTGATAAACAACTATAATCACATGGCAGAGTGAGAAATATTATACCAAGAGTATAAGGGACACAAAATAACCATGGATAGTTATGTAACTAAAATATTTAAAATAGT